AGTGGCTGACTGGTGGGATGTCAGTCAAGCTCAATGGATCTTTCTGTAGACGGTCACTATGACAATCTCACGCATATAAAATTGGAGTCGTCCTCACTGAAGCTTGCTATATTCTGTGCTCTCCAGTTCGTGTGTGTCAAGCGCAGACGAAATATTTGGCTTTGCCAGCCATTGTGTCCGATTCGGCCTCCATTCGTCCAGACACTGTCTTGACAACAGAGCCATGTGGGTAAGGGAAGAAAAAGCACGGTTGATACTGTACAATTCACCCTTGCCATAGACCCATCCACGCGCAAGTCACCGTCGTGCGCTCACTCCGTATGGCATACATCGGGCCTCATAGTTTGTAGCGGTCGAACTGTCGTAACATTAAGATAATCCAATTGACCCTCTTTATGAATTATTTGCATATATTGTAGACGCAATCCTGTAGCACGGAGGATTCTGCTCATTATTTTACTTCGAATGCATGTCGAACATGCTGAAGATTATGGCTTGCAGTACTAATAAACTCTCACCTTTTGCCTTCGGGCACATCAGCACAGTTCAACATGATCAAAGACACACTGTGTGCCACATATCAGAAAGCACATTAAGTTTGGCTATGGTGTGTTGCCACCAACTTCGCCCGCCTGTTATACGCGCTGGACTTGTAGAACAAAAAATAAGTCCTTTTACAAGACTTCTAATAAGAGTTACTCGCAAACACAAGACTTAAATACCGTCAATAGAGACACAAGATAGAAAGGGTAAGACTAAATCATGGGAGTTCTCTTAATGCGAGGACATCCCCTTCTCCATTGAGACTAGTGGTTGCGTTTATTTTAAGAATTTGGTTTTGATGATGAAACGTGAGAATTAAAATGGGTGCCGGGGAAAAAAGTGGAATCGATGGTACGAGATAAACTGTATTTCGCATCCTATTTAAGCTTATTAGTAGCGGGCAGGGTCTAAATTTCGGCCATAGCCTCTGAAGACTATGGTGGTAAATGTCTTTAATTCGGAAACTAGACATAAACTGAAACACACTGTGCGCCTAAATTCCTAATTGCTACCTTATACTGTTGCATTATACGTCATTTACCGCTTGTTTAACTTGTACCCCGTTCCAATATAAATGACATTGCCCGATAAGAATTTATTGAAAGCCTACATATGCTCGCCAACTACGCTCCTAAATTATCTGATGGGAATTTTTTAAGTCTAAGGTGTAATCATTTCTGCAAAGTTTTGCAATTTTAGTTATCTTTACCTAGCAATTGTTATCATACCAGTTTATCCCAAATTTCTTAGAGCTTCTCTCCTACTTCTTACTACTTATGCATTATTCATTTACCTTCCTAAATTTGAAGGCAGTGGAAACATACTAAAAATTTTCACTTCGCTTTGTTTGTCCATTACACTTCAAAGCAGTAAATGGTCCGTGATGGAATCATATTACGACGAGAATGGGGGATCCGCAATCGTCTGAATTCTGCTTTCCGAAACGGCTAACCTAGATTTTGATATGAAGTTATTTGCAGTGGAGGAGGTGTAGTCGGCCCATGATTTCAAGAAGGTCCTCAGGAGCCGAAACCTTATAAACTGCTTATAAACTGAACACCTCGTAATGTTTGCTAGAGAATTCCTAGAGCTTAATCGATCTAAGTTCTTCTGTCGTGCATCCAGGCCAGATCGGTGGACATCATTCAGGCAGATTGTTGTTGCTAGGGTTTGAATGGGCCTGTCATTATTATTTCCACTCCTAAACGATGGATTTGGACTTGGCGTCGGATAATGGTTGTTCGTGTTTGAAATTTGAGGGTTTCATTGTCACACGTACTTTGTAATAATCATATACCAATTCTTTGTCTTTATATATGCCCTGTTTGGTTTAAAACGTGCATTTGGATCATAACTGTAGCAGGGGAGTAAGGAGAACAAGCGAAGCCAATTACTAAGTAACGGCTCATAGGCTGTTCAGATCGAGGACAACATACATCATAAAGTTTGTCTGACGTCTATGGCCGTTCCTGGCTCCTTTATCTTTGCAGGATTCGATACCGCCACAAGCTGCTTTCCATTAAGAGATCAGCATTGATCGGATATGTGGCTCCGCTCAGAAAAGGGAAGGCAATAACTCCTGTAACATAGGAATAGTGGTAATCGGAGGGGGGGGGGTTATCGGTTGGATAGGCGAAATTGGCATATAGCTGTTTTTGGGAACAAAAAATATCAAACCTTTACTTTACACCATTACGTTTCTTTAGATGCACCAATAAAACCTACAAATGTAAATGCGGAATTGAACATACTGGACATTAGGGCACGTAAATGGACGGAGACGTGAAAGCCGAAGGCACTGATTAGATACTTCAGCTAATCAAATTGAAGGAGAACTTAAGATGAATGTATCGTTAACTTCGATTCGCGTGATGGCCGCGACCGAAGTTATTATTAAATTTGGCAACATTTATAAACTGACCCCCAAATCTGTGTCTGTAGTGATAACCTCAACGAGGAATAGGTGAAAGTGAAGAGGGATTTGCTTAAACCTATCTAAATTACATGGATAGGTATTAATTAGAATTAAACAAAAGGTGGAGCCACACTTCTGGTAGTTAACAGGAGATAATTTGCAGTGAATCTTCTTATCTACTATATTCCAATTCGTAAATATACTGCATTGGAAAGCGTCGTCACCAACGCTTGTGCGCCAAAATATCTGAGAAACACAAAATAACGCATGCTAATTGAAGAACGAGGTGACCATCCACCGATACTCTTGCCTGAAAGAATGATCCATGAACTTCTTAATGATGGCTGGGAAACATTACAAATGTTTTAGAGGGTATTGTCTTCTGCCAAAATAAAACCATCCTATACCAGGGACAAAAAGAGGGTGGTAAGAAAATTAGTGGCGGTTATTCAGTTACTAGCCTAGCATTCTGTTTAAAACTACAATCAAACTTGGCATTCAAATCACTGAGTGTATCATGAGGAATTAAATTAAGGTTGTCAGCGGATAGAGTGGGGAAGTCCAGCAGTTATCACTTGAGAATCACCCCTTGGGAGATTTGATTTAAAAAATATTTTTAGGTACGAGGGTCTCCTCCTGGAGACACTGAAAGGGGTGTTTCTGTCTGTCAGGCTACTATTTCTAGTTTTGTTCTGCCCTAAATTTTTCCTGCAAACGAAACATTTCAGTAGAGCGGTCAAATACTTTTTTTCTTTATTTCAGGTACGACAAGGACATGTCCTACTGCTTGCGAATAATGGATACAATTGTTTTTATGCGGCATATCGATCACAGCTAGACTACTCAAGTATTGTTGATATGCAATCTGATGGCGTTGGGAAATTTGCCTAAAATCTGAACATTTCCAGGGTCGCCTTTCAGCATACTTCATTACTCGTCGCCTTGCAAAAATAATGAAGGACTTAAAAAAGTTCGAATTGAACAAGTGAAGAGGAGCCAGAAGCAAACAGTTGACGTAGACGTTTGTCTACAGTTCTAACTGATTTTGCGTTTGCTGTATGCTAACCAGCTACTGTGAAAATGAAGCTCCTGGTATTCAAACTTTGTTTCATCCTTTTAGTCGGCTGCATTTCTTAAAAATAATGTTAACGACATATTGTTCTCAACTTCAGCAGAATGAATTTTGAATGCGTATAAATTCTTTGTCGGTTTGGCGTTACCATCGTTCGTTGGTTGGGAATATTGGCATCAACTGAAACTGCTAATATCGGATGCTATGCCGATTCGTCTTATCAGTTTTTACTACATATCTTACCAAAATATATAGCCTTTTTGGAGTTTGCCGCTAAACAGAGCCGATGCTTAACGGCGATGCTCTCTGCCGTGTTCGCCGAAGGTATACGCGTCATGAATTGCCGTTGAAAAAAAAAACAATCGGAATTTCGCAACTGTGATGTGCTTTCCCTTCCCAAAAGTGCTAGCAGGTTTTCTTGCAACCACCGTGTACAATTGGTTTTATTCAGGTCATTTAAACTCTGGAAATATATATTCGTGGGTTCTACAGAATCCAATGACAATTTCGAATCTTGTTGCCTTAATCCTGTCATTGTTTTACATGGTACCGAGGTAAAAGGCCAATTTATCTAGCTTTATTCACCACAGTCTAGTTCGCCATGATTTGGTAATCCATAGTGAATCGAATACAAATACGCATATCTGGGGTAGGTTAGTACGGTTCTTACACGAACATAATCGTTCTCGAGAAAAACTTAAAGTTCATGACAAAATAGTACGGTGTCGATGTTAAAATTCTAGGTGTCTGCATGAATAACGAAGGCTGCTCGAGCTACGGAAACACTTTCTTATCATTCTGACGAAAACATAGCCTCGTCAGCTGTGCTGTTGTTTTTAACTTCCCTCCGAATTCGGTGCACGAAGTCTTGTGTGAGAGACCTAAAGATTCATGTGGCAAGGGTCAGGGTCCCTTACCGCTGAATACCTAATGCGGCTGTTAGACTTTCGCCACAAGAACTTACTTCATTTTTGCTGCAGAAACCTTTAAGCAGCTCAGAGGAACTTGAATCGGTGCTTTAGTCTCGGGTTCAGTGACAGAACTACTTCAACGGGAGTCAGAAAAGGCTGCGTTCGTAAAACACACACCAGACCTTTTGTACCGTTACTTTGACAGCACGTTTGTTATCGTCAGGAAAAACATGCTGCAAAGCTTCTATAATTTGTTAACTGGAATCTTTCCCGATATAATTCGCAAAGGACGAAGAGCAGGAACAGCAATTGCCATTCCTTTATGTTCGTCAATTTAAATTCTAACTGTGAAATTTAGAGGACGTTTTCCATTAGGGCAGCGACCACCACACACCTCAACTTTCACAAACACCATCCGGAGGCTCACAAATGAAGCTGTGTGACACTGTTCTTAAAATGGCTTCAGACTCACTGCAGCGGGCCGAAAGAAAAGATACGCAGAATTTGGTGTCTCTTTGACCGATTTATGCGGCATGGCTATTCACTTGCCCTTCTACCTTCATACTTACGTGTTCGCTCCTGCAGGACCCAACCAGAAATGTCACCAAGGTTATGGCAAACTCTGTCATACATTAAGAACGTCTCGGAGGCGACCAAGCACGTTGCTGCGGAAGTAAGTGATGCAATTGTACACCAACCCAAGGCTATTATACGCCTAAATCAGAAAGCACAGTCTGCGGTGGTGTATCGCATTCCGTGTCGAGACTATCCATGCTCAGAGAGCGCATACATCCACATCAGCTGGCCGTGCGACAGGAAGACGAATTATCACAAGTGGCTGCCCACACCTACGAAACAAGTCATGAGTTCAACTCAGCCGTCAAAATAATCACCCAAGCCTGAAACACGATGAACCGGGAACTAATTAATGTCTGGGCCTTGGATGGCAACTCAGTCAGTCGATGTATTGATCTGATGCTGACGGACCCAGCCCTACGCTGTTAGCTCCAGACTTGTGTCAGTGAGCGTTGATTAGCTTGCAATGCCCATTAGTGTAGTGTTTTCCCGTTAGCACTTTCAGTGACAATGGATTTCTGCGTGAGATCGAAGGCTCATAAGTATGAAAAACGTGTCCGATGCTCGAACAATCTTCATTACTCATCCTTGGGGTTTTCTGATAATTGGCTTTAAGATTGTTTACATCTCGTGTAAACAACGCAGAGTCGTTTAAATTTAGCGTCCCACTTCAGATTTGGTTGTTCATTTTTCTTTGCTTGTGACTATCTGATTCGAAATTAATGTCGGCCGACGCTACGCACTAATGGTTCGACAAATAGGTGTTGCACATCTTTGAAGAAGTAAGTTCGTTTAAACGTCCACTTTCTTGCTTAGTTTCGAAGCTTCAGTGGTTTTCTGTGGGCAAGCTCTGGCCCCGAACTCCAGTTTGCTTATGCATGTACGGTTTCTGATGCGGCTTCGCTCTGAGATCGGTTATTCCAAGATGGAGGGCCGTGTAAGTTTAAGTAGGTCTATATGCTTAATAAATTCGCTCATTAAATATATATTGTAAGGACGGCCAAATACGTGAGTCATGACCCTTGTCATCCTGAAGTCATGCCTGACAAGGTGCCACGAACAGTGAAGTCTGCTAAGGAATTTTTGACCCGCATTCAACACTTGGAAGGAGAGGCAGACGAGGTGTTGGTGTCGTTTGATGTGATCTCGTTGTTGACATCTATTCCACCCAGTCTGGCCATTGACAAGATTGACGGTCTTCTCCGAGAGAAATGAATGAAGCCGACCAAAAACTCAAGTGAGCGGATATCATCGAGCTCGTGGGACTGTGTCTAAAAACATTCTTCACGTTCAATGGTCAAGTTTACGAAAAAAAGA